CTATGGAATGGATGGCTTAGATCTCTCACCCCATAAGTCACCAATGATCGACGGTCTATGTTCAATCTCACAAGAAGATGCAAGCTAAAGAAAACCCTAATCTTATTCAAAGCCTATAAAAAGGGATTGTCTCTTCCCAAAAATCTCTACACTTTATCTCTTGTACCTAATTCTCATCTTTCTCTCTCATATCCCAAAAAGGGGACACGCACTACTCTCTCATGTTTGATTTCTCTCTCACACATTGTGAAAGAACCTAAGGTTTTAGGTTATGGAGTTCTTCTCTCTTATCTCTCAAATATGGATTTACAACTAAGGGTTTAGCAAAAAGAGAATATATCTCTCTCAAACTAGGTTGCTAAGAGCATTCACATAGAGTTTGAGTTTGTGATCAAAGGGGTTCATATTCTATTAGTGTGGCTTTGCTTTTTCGGTTTGAGATTGAATCTAGACCGTTGATCCCGCGCCATCGGATGGTGGTGACTTGGTGTGGAGTGTAATAGGCCAGGTTGAGGTAATCTCCGACACTCTTCTTTTTTTGTTTCTTACAATCTTATCTTTTAATCTCAAGCGTAGTGCATAGTTGTTTCAATGACATCAAATTGTTAAGATTTTGGTTTTATTGTTTTGCTGATTTTATTTTGAAATTTATCTTATTATAATAAAGACCACATGTAAGTCATCTTTTGTCAAAAGAAAGGGGTGAATATATATATATATATATATATATATATTCTCGTGTAAAAGATCACATTGGTCTTTCTTTCATAAAACACTTATCCTTGTTCCAAAAATCAACTTGCAGCATGAAGGACACTTGTCTATTCTCAAGGAGAGTTGAATGCATTGTTTCTTAACTTCCTTTTGTCAAGTCAGTGACTACAATTCCCACTCTATGCAACCATTTGTCTTATTGTTTTGCAAGGGGTTTTTTTTTTCTAATACTTCTCCCATAGACTTGCGGGGTTAAATTGTTAGGACATGTTTTTTCCTTTCCAATACTTCTCTCATAGAATTGCGGGGCTAAAGATCAGACCACATTGTTTAGTAAAAAAAATAGAATAGAATGCGGTCCGATGTTCGAATCAACGAACTGCTTGGTTTACTTAAAAAAATAAAACCGAAGGCAGTTCGATGTTCGAATCATCGGAACGCTTGGTTTACTTAAAAAAATAGAACAGAAGGTGGTTCGATGTTTCGAACATCAGACCGCTTTCTGTTGAATTTTTGTAGTAAATAATACGGGGGCAAACTTTATAAAAAATCTAAATTGTAAGGGTTACAAAGTGATTCTAGGTTTGAAAAATCAGACTGGGGGTGACTTTGTAAAAAATAAAAAAATTCAGGATTCCATCTTTTCAAGTAATAATGGCCAATTTTTTGGCCATTTTGTTATAGCAGTATTATAAAAAACACCTTGATTTGAGCTGATAATACAGTTGATGAACAATATTTACCTATTAGCAATAATTTTGTTTATCATTACAAAGGCAAGTAAAATCAACTGTACCTTTTTTCTCTTTCTTTTTTTTTTTTTCTTTTTGGGGATAAAGGTGAAAAATGTTGTGTGGATGCTTCGCATATGCGCTTCTCTTAAAGGAAAGACTCATCATATGTCAACACCAGTAGACAAAAAGAATTGACACAAAACTAGCCCATGTCCCAAGCACCTATTTTAATGGTAAAAAATACCACAGTTGCCAATTACCTTCAAAATTTGAGCAAACTAGTCTTGATTATCATAATTACAGATAAATAATTCCAATCTCTTTGCCTAAAGATCTAGAAAATATTTATAGAGGAAGATAATCACCAAAACTACAAGAAGTTATAGGGACAGGAAAATATAACAATGTGATATGTTTTAAAAGAAATTTACCAAAATACACAAAAGAGTTCAACCATTTAACAATTATCTATATCTTTTGATTTAATTTCAAAATACTCAACAAAATATACATTAACAATTATCTATATCTTTTGATTTAATTTCAAAATACTCAACAAAATATACATAACTATGTGTTGAAATAGTTGAAAAAGAGTAAACTACTAAATTATTAAAAGGGAAAGGTTTGCTTCCCTTACGAAAAAGAGTAAACTATTAAATTATTAAATGGGAAAGGTTTCTATGCTTCCCCTACTGTATAGAAGTTCTATCCTCCCCTTACTATCCATCCATCCAATTTTGATCAAGAGAGTCACTCACCGTTTGATCTTAGATCCGACGTCTCAAAGTATTTTATTTTTAGTTTTTCTTATACAAATTGTATGAATATGAAATTTGGTACGTGCCATCTTCTCATTGGGGCGCACCTATAAAAATATTAAAACTAATTTTTGGATAAAATATAATGACCAAAATATCCCTTGAAACTTTCAAGAGTATTTTGGTTATTTTATTTTATTGAAAATAATTTTTTTATATTTTTCGCTAGTGCGAGTTTAATAGACAAATGGATGTCCAAAATTTGGTGTCAAAATAATTTATTGAAAAAAAATAAAAATAAAATAGTATAGAGACGTGACATTGTGATTGGAGCAATCTTAGCCCTCTATTCACAATAGATGGTTGGATCAGGGGGAGGATAGAACTTTTATGTTACAGAGGAAGCATAGAAAGCTTGCCCTTATTAAAAAGTTCCATGTTTCGATAAATGTCCTTTTATCTAACCACGTAAATGACGCACAAAATTTAATATTTTACCATATCTCTTTGACCTAGATATGTCGTAATGGTTGAATAATGACTTACAAAGTGCAGTAGGGTGGTTTCAAATTTTCTCCCTCTATTCAAATTATATATTATGTAGTATTTTTTAACACCAATATCGCACTCTAACATCATGTGTGTTAGTGATATTTTCAAATAACAATACCTCGCTATCACTTACCATGATACATGTATGTTCAAACATAATATCTTGTAAGGTAGGAAAAGAGCCCGGGCTTAATTGGTTAGCATTTGACGATTTGCAACGCTACATCTTAGACTCCATTCCTACTAAAGGTAGAACCCCTCTCCCCACTGACTCAGCCAAAAATAAAAATCTCGTAAGGTGATATGTCATTGTAAGTTACCTTATTTTAGGTATTGGTATCTTTCTAATGTTAATATCTAATGGACGGGTTTCTATGCAGGCATGCCCAAATGAAAGAATTACCCATGTCTAATAGGTGTTAAATTTGCACAACTTTTTGGCATTTATAAACATCAAAATTTCATTTGTTACGAATACCAATATCTTTCAAAGAGAATTGAGCGAGATATTGGTTTTCAAAAATACAAATATATCACATATTTGGTTTCCTACAATCCACTTTGCATTTGATGGATGGGCCAAATTGAAAATTACCCCTCCATCAACATTTGACCCCTTATCGTACCTTCATTGCACATGCACCTTGATGGGTTTTTTGAACATAGTACAAAAGAAAATGTTAAACAAGGAAGATGTTTGAAAGGTTACATACGAAGAATTGCAACCCAATGTGCACAACCGTAGAAACATGATATAAGCAATGAAAAACAAAATGCACTTATTGATCCCACTGATTGGGAGTGTTAGCTATTTGACAACAATAAGACCCCATATCATATTTATGTTATTGCAGAAATTAGCCACTGTATGGTGAGAATGGGGTCAGGGCATCTATGGTTGGGGGCTGATTCTTCAACATAACATCCCACTATTTATTCCTAGGGTTAATGTACTTGAAAAAAAAAAAAAAAGCAACACGCGAGTCCCAAAAGTCAAATTGACTCATATGCTCAAAAAAAAAATATTGCACTATATAAAAGAGGGAAAAGTATACAAAGAGACCATTGACTTTTAATACAATGACGTCACAATTACTTTTGTCTGTCAAATTTCAAATTGGGTGATTGTGAGTGTATTTCAAAAAAGAAAATTTTTCGAACATTATGTCATATCCTAAACTATCCAATTTTACATCCAATGGCTAGTAACAATCATGACCTCTACTTTTAAGAAAGATAAATGGTCTCATCACATACAATCCCATAAAAGAGCATATAAGGCTGCGTTCTTTTTTTATTTTATTTTTTATTTTTCTTTTCTAAGGCTGTATTCTCTATTAAGATTAAGTGAGTCATTAAAAAGTTTGTTTAAGAGGGTATTTTGGAAATTTTAACTTCATACTTGTTTCAATTATTATTTCTAATTACCATCGTTTTAATAACTAAAATATTATTGGGATTGATATAAGTTCTCAAAAGATATTGCCATTTCAAATTGGTATGGTTGCTAAATTGGGTAGTAGTTATCGATTTGGTTAACTTGTAACAAAGTTCATCAAAATTGAGTACTACACTATTATCATCATCATCATCATTATTGTTATTTTTATATGAGAAATGATCCTATAGGACCCTCCTCACCCATGTATGTAAGACTTTAAATGATCACCATTAAATTTAACACGAATATCTAAAATCTCACACTCATGTGATACCTTTTCTAAAAATCTATGCCAAATTTAATGATGATCCTTTAAAATCTTATACACACGGGTGGAAGAGGTTCTTATAAAATCATTACTCATTATATATACAACATCATCATTATTATATATCTAGTCGACCCAATCAGACCCCACCCGTTATGGTCCAATATAAACCTAAATTTAACCAGGGTTAAGTGCATGCCAAAAGGACCCACGACCAATCCGCCAGGTCCGCTAGCCAAGATTGGCACTCCATTCATCGATGGAAGCAAAATTTGTCAAGCTCGATAATCCTGAATAGGAGTTATGAGGTGTGCATAATATCCAAGATCATTCTAAGAGATTTTGCTCCCCAATTCAGCCCCTACTCTCCATGGCCTTCTCTTCTCTCTGATTTTGTTGCTCTCCGTAGGTACTTTTTTTTTGGTGATTCAATGAGGAAAGAGTTTTCCCCCCGTAATAGGAATGAAACTCAAAATGCAATGTTATAGCACTTGCAATTCTAACCACACGGCCTTTAGCCCATTCCACCCTAACATCCAAATATTGACAGGTATTATAATCTTCTCTCGAAACGATTGAGAAACATTACTAAAAGTACCGGTGACAAGCAACTAAAATCATCTCTACAAAGATTGTGTGGATGGTTTACAAGCAACAATCTTAGCAAGAACTAATAAAATGTGCCACTTCATCCATTTCAAGCCATTATGCCTTATGAGAACCTCAACTCACAAACAAGATGATTCCAAATTAAACACGATATATTACTGCTATGCGAAGCAACACCTTCATTTTGTTCACAAAGGGAAGTTCCATATTTCATATACCCATCTGTTGTTTCTGAGAGGCAAATCCGTGTCTATTATGTGCGATTCCTGCCATGTCTACTGTGTGCGAGTCCTGCTGTTCTCTGCAGCTCTTACTTGGAAGAAGTATGGGTGAGCCTACGCCAAAGATAAAACATATTACCATACAAGTAAAATAATGGAAACAGAAAGGCTACCAGCTAAATTAACACTATACAGTGATTGAATGGTGGGTTTTACCAACTACATGAACTTCATATGTACAAATTTTATGATCGAACACTTCGGATAAGGGCTTGAACTCTGGCCAACATACGCACACTCCAATGAGCCAAAGACAAATATTATGGCCAAAAGAGACTGTCAAATGCCAAATTAATATATGTTGGTGCAGCATTAAAATTTATGGTACAAGCAGGCATTTGATGTTGCAACCCAAGTTGATGCCCAGGATCCTAGTCTTGAATAGGAAACTTTACCATACTTTATGAAATAATAGCAATTTTTATACAATTCCATGATTTCCCAACAAATTATACTAGTTAGCCAGTAAAAATTAAACAATATGGAATACAAACACTTCTATGACAATCCCTGATTCTGCAGTAGCTTCTACTAGTTAGCTTTCAGACAACGAACAATATGCCGCCGCTCATTTCACCAATGAGAACTTCATTGTGAAGGCTTACAATATAAACGATGCAGCTTTCGAAGTATTTCCATTATTCAGGTAGTGCACACTTAAAACCAAAAATCCTCCTAAAAATGTGTAACTAAATCTCACGACTTCTTCCACTTAAAACCATAAACAATCTCGTCATGGTCTTAGCTGGCAATCCAGGATTTTTCAGTGTTTAGCCTATATGCCTCCTTGTTATAAAAGGAAGATTAGAGACAAATGGAACATCAAAATTATGAAGAAGAGAAAGAAACATATAAATCTCACAGCAGGAAAAATACAACCCAATTACTACTTGTACCAAAATTTGCAACCATGGAGCAATCATGTAAAGATCATGAGTCTGTACAAGGTAGCAGCAGGAGAAAGGAAAGCTCAATTCCCATTTCTACAGTTCTGGCAAACATGAAGCCACAGTCCTAATTCTCCTGAAACTCCACAGAAGGGGTCAGGAAAGCAACTCATGCAGGCTCATGGTACACTGATAAGTTACTTTTCTAATCAAGTCACCTCCGATTTCAAAAATCGTGTATATGGGTTATGGAGTATCACGTTCTTCTGTTTGCAACGTAAGGAAGCTACAAAATACAGTTTGGGTAAAAATCTGAAATTGTGTCAATAACTGTGAGTCATATTCTAGGTTCTGATTCCTTGACTTCTGGAAATCATATCAGAATTTGAGTTGTCATTAAGAAGTTTCCAAAAGCCCTTAGAATTCCAGACGGTTATCAAACATAGCATTTTCCAATACTAGGAACCAGATCTTACAGCATCTAGTTATCAGACAGGCCCAAAAATAAATTTGACCATCTCTGGGCATATTTGGTAGCCACATGATATTTCTAGAAGTAAAGCTACCATAAGAGCAAGATGAGAACAAGATCCCGGAGGCAGTTGATGATGTCAGTAAGGGGGGAAAATGGAATGACAATTTAGATGGACAAGAAATTGCCAACATGTCACCAAGGAGAAATAATGATGACACATGCACCAAGTAAAGTTCAATAAGTAAGATCAGATCCGTAAGGCATATAAAGAACAAAATAAGGCATCGAGATCTCTCAGTACCTCCCACAAGACAGGAAGCGCATGTTGGAGTAGCAGAAACATGATGTTGCAAGTGCTCACTAGTAGGAACTCATCCTTAGGAACAAGAAGAAGGCTATAATTTGCAGACTGGACAGGCTATGATTTGCAGAGAGGATAACCCTCCACAACCAGCCAGCCAAATATCCATGACCCACTAAATAGCCACAAGTAGAATTTCTGGATTAAGCGCAATTTCCTTGGCAATTGGTAAGCAATCCTTCCATCAAGGGAACATCTTACTCTGAAATTTACTCTAGAACCAAGATAAATATGATGGACCATAGAGGCATAGAGTAGTTGCATATAAAAGTTTCTACAGAAACAAATCTGCAACGAAAAAAATAAAATATCTCTAAAAAAGGTGATCAGTATACTTAAAACTCCAAGACTCCATGAAAGTAGGAAATCTTAAGAAGTTTTCATTTGAAGAATGGTCACAAATGCGCCGCAATGTGAAGCAACAAGAACATCTGAGATCCCACAAATCAACCAATAGATGAAAGAAAAATTACCATTGCTTCTCTTGCTGTAAGTCTATCTTGATGATCATAACGGAGAAGCTTGTCCAGGAAATCAATAGCCTGCAAATGATAATACAAGTTAAACATGAATGTGAGGAAAACCGAAAGTGAAACAAAAAATACACCAACCATTCAAATATGAAATGAGAAACAAACAATTAGAGTTCTGAACAAGATATAGATAAGGAACCTCGGGAGAAACAAGATGCTGATTATCCATATTAATGAATTTTGACCAGGGCTTCCTGCTGTGCCTGCAGATAAATTCGATAGAAAAAACAGTGGCATCATCATGGGAAACAGTAAAGTAGCTTCAAGGAGGAGAAAAAATAAAGATAGGATTATAGGAAACATAATAGGGCTGACACTAGTTTCTAATGGAGCATTTGTCACTTGAATTTTTTCTTGGTAGTTGTGAAATTTAAATCCACACTCCATGAATGAGACTATGAGCTCTAAAGCATGACATTGCAGAGTTCTATCCCCTGATGGAGATTTAGCTTCAATTGAAAGAGAAAAATTATCATTTGGTTCAAAACTGCAAGTAAATACAAATATTTAAGGGAAAAACGTTTATATAGGGTTGCAACCTTAAAATGTAGAATTACAAATGCACCTCAAAAATCCATTGGAAAAAGTTGTTTTAATGTTGAATAAACCTCTAATTGATGATCATCTCAACATCGAGATGTATGACTATGAAAAAAAAATAAAAAGATTTTGAGTCCTAGAAATAGTGCATCTTGCAATACATTATTTAGACCGTCCATTTCAAGATTTTCATATGTTTATAGATCTACTTGATTTTAACCATTTTGGAGTTTAAAATTGAGAAAATATCCTATTATCCCTTATTTTCAACTTCTATATCTCATCAGACCCAAGAATTGAAAATATTACTTATAAGCAAAAAGACTCCATCTTTTCTCCATCTTTTCTATCTTCCAACCCCCTAAACCCTTTTGACTATGTATTATTGACCTCAACAACTTATGAAATGACTATATTTCTCTCTCTAAAACTCTATATCTCTCTCACATCATCGTCCCTCTCTCAAAACTCCATCTCTCCCTCTAAAACCTAAACTCCATCTCACTCTCTTACATCATCGTCTCACTCTCTCAAAACTCCATCTCTCCCTAAAACTCAAACTCTATCTCTCTCTAAGACTCTATCTCTCTCTCACACACAAGGTGTGCTCGTGTTTGAGCTCTTGGCTGGTAAACTCACCGAGACGCAAAGAGAGAGATGGGGTTTTAGAGAGAGAGAGAGATGGAGTTTGAATAAGATGTCATTTTAGTATTTGTTTGGGTCAAAAATTTATGGTCAAAGGGATCAAGAGGGTTGTAAAATAGAAAAGATGGAAACCTTTTGCTTACAAGTAATATTTTCAATTCTTGAGTCTCATGAGATATGGGACTTAAAAATAGGAGATAAGGAGATATTTTTCCCTTTAAAATTTTATAATTAGATGTGAAAATAGATTTTGAGATAATCCTAAGAATTTTTTTTTTACCAAAATTACATGTTATGATAAAATTTGGAGGTGCGCCTTATATAGATTGTTAAAGATTGAAACCCACACACATATTTAAAAGGCCCAATATTATCTCCACCTTGATCAGCCCCATGCTAGTCCCAAGCCCGGGTAAAGCAAGAGGGTTGTGTTAGGTAGGCAACCAGCATAAAACTTTGCCACATCTTTTCATGAATCCTCATGGCACGACAGAATTCGTATAGCCAACCTCTAATAGTTAAGATAAGGCTTGGATGATAATGATGAGGAGATATACAATACCTGCCAACAAGAGCATCTAGCTGAGGATCAAGCTCAAGACGATATTTGTTCAAATAGGCATTAAGTTCATCTGTTCCAAGTACCTGGAAGTATTTTTGGAAAGAAGAAAACTGATAAATACTTAGGAACACAAAGTGGGATATAATTGTTGTATCATGAGACCAACATCAAAAATTTTCAAATCTATAATTCTTTTAAAATATAAATTTTCAATGGATATAAACTCTAAACTTTTATGATGCCTACTAAAATACAGTGACCTTTTCCCCTTAAATGGGCCAGTTTCATGCATCAGGTTACCAAAAATACAGTGATCGCATACAAACTACTTGTTAAAATGACAATGTGGTTGACATGAAAGACCAAATTTTATAGAAACAAGTGATGAAAATATAAAGATTGACAGAAGTATACTATTTCAAACTAAGACTTTTGAAAGAATCTACACATAAACCAACTTAGTAATAATGCAGTATTTCTAGTACAGAAAGTGCAGTTCAGTGTGCCATATTGTAAAGAGGATTGTTATAGTTTTCTGCAATGGGCATCTAGCATCCATCCAAAGACAGATAGTCAAGAATAATAACTGTTGGGCAATGTGACATTCATCCATACGGAAATAATCTCCACACACCATCTTCGGGAATGAACTGTGTATGCCATGGCATTAACACTGCTTTGGATCATATTATAACTTTCCAGCATATTACACTGTTGACAGCAAAAAAAGTCATGTCCTCTAATATCAGATTCAAATAATTAAATAATTTATACAAGTTCATCTAAATGTGACTATACTAAAAAAGGTTTTTACTCTTGATGAGGGCTCAACGATTTTCAGAAGGTTAGGTTTCTGAAAGAAAACAAGAAGAGCAGGAAATTCTTTGGATTTCATGACTTGACAGGCAAGAAGGAAAACGAGAGAATCGCAGACAATATCCTAAAAGGGAAAACATATATGAAGTTCTCAAAAAGAAGTTACTTCAAAAAAAAAAAAAAAGTTCACATAAAACAATGGCAGAGCAGAGTAAAACTAATGATAAGTCACAAGGAAATCTTATGTGCTGACCAGAACAAGTTAAAGAACCTGAAATGAATGGATGACCTAGGAATCATTTCATGGCAATATTAGTAATAACTTATTTTTTAGAAGAATTAACTTTTAAATAATCGTAACAAATTGATTCTTGTTTCTGCGGAAACATAAAAATTTAACAAACAATTACGGGTACCAAACATCATTTGGCAGACACATGCGCATAAGACATGTACAGACAAATTTCCCAGTTGCGCATGAGCATGCGCACACAAATACACCTTCAATTGCATTTGTCACTCAACTATATTATTTTGGGCTAACTGTGCCAACAGCTGTACACCTTGAGCCATTAAATAGAGATCCAACCATGCACCTGTTTAATCCATGGAACACAAGTTCGGATGCACTTGCAAACAGTTCACATTTTCAACACAACTACATGAAATGAACCAGCGCAAAAATCTTGTCCATGTCTCCAGAGAGATCTGATTTAAAGGAACATAAAGTATAAATAAACCAGAGCTAGTATTCACCTTGGCAATTTTGACAAGCTGATCATGATTATCATGACCATAGAAAAATGGTTCCTTGCGAAAGATCTGCAACAAAGAGCAGGAACAAACAATCAGTATCTCCACAAGAAATGCCTAGTGGCCGAACAATTCATGAGGAGAAAATGGTAACTAGGAACATACTCTATAAAAAGCTTATCAGTATAGTCTAGCTAACTTTGTAAAAAAACAAAAATCTTACCATGCCAGCAAACATGCAACCAAGACTCCACATGTCCAAGGAGTAGTCATAATCTTGCAAATCAACCAGGAGCTCCGGACCCTTGAAGTACCTGAACACAGGGAATCATCATCTCAATCACTAGATGGAAAGAATATGTTAGAGGGATATGGAAGTAAATAAAAAAGGGCAAACTCTACATGAGGCACCATCCACATAAAACATATGTGACCCTATGCCCAGACATCCAATTTGCAAGGACAGTTGGGAAAAGTTTAGGTATAATGTCATGAGTTACTTTTAGAGAAGTTTAATCTTGATCGAACAGCTCCGAATATTTTATTTTTTATTTTTATTTTATACATCATTTTACAGCAAAATTTAGAGAAGTTCTAAAAGACAGTTGTGCGACCAGCTTTGCTTTACAGAGCAGAATGTTGGGCAATCGAGAAACAACATACACATAGGATGAGTATAGATCAGATGAGGATGTTGAGATGGATGAGTGCCTAGACAAGAAAGGATAGAATTTGAAATGTATACATTCGGGAGAATACAAGTGTGGCTCCAATAGACGATAAAGTGAGAGAAAGTAGACATAGGTGGGCTGGCCATGTACAGCGCATACCGAGTAGTACGGCACCTGTTAGGAGGTGCAAGTTGGCTCAAGTGGAAAGACCAAAAAGGGTAAAAGGTAGACCCAAAAAGACAGTTGAAAGTACTGAGAAAAGATATGGGGACTTATAGCCCCACTGAATGTATGGCCCTTGATAGAGTAGAATAACCGACCATGATTTGTACAGCCGACCCCAAATAGTTAGGAAAAGGCTCAAATGATGATGATGATTTTGCAGTGAAATTTGGGGCATTCATACCTCCCATAGGGCCCACTTGATAAAACCAAGGAAAAATATTTCTGACAGAAGTATACCAAAATACCATGTAGGAGCATTTTGGTCATTTTTCTAATAGAATTATACTTTTTTACTTTTTCTTTTTGGCTAGGTGCTCCCCAATAAAGTTTAGGGCATGCCCCAAATCTCATGCAAAATTGATATGTATTTAAGGATGACATTGTGAGTGAAGCTATCCTCGCCACACATTCAGATCAAGATGGGTGGGCATAGGGGACACATATGTTTTACATGTGGGTGGCACCACACAAACTTTCCCAATAAAAAATTCCATTAATTCTCAAAAGTCAAAACAAACACAATTTTTTTAAAGAATTAGCAAGCTAATAGCCTGACTAGCTAGAAAATAATAGTGCACTTGCCATGTCTTTGCGTTAAGGTTTTTTTAATACAAAATTGACCCCAATTGATGAAAGAACAATATTGAATAGTGTACAAAGATTGATATTGAATAGTGTGCAATATGTTTCTTTAAGGTTTTCTTGGATTTGAATTTCTCTAACTTTATTTTTATATAAAATATTACTAATTTTCTTAACTTTTTTTTTCTGAGGAATGTTCCAGTGAGTGCATTAGTACCCTAGCCATCATTGGATAAGTAGGCAGGGTGATAAAGCATACAACATGGAAAGTTGATCATCCTTGGCTTATTGGCCATGCACACTGGATGTTGCGATCACCTATTCTTGTATTTTAACATTTTGACTGAAGCTACCCAAATAACCTAGTAATGGTCAACTTTGCATGTTGTATCATTTATCAGCCTGCCCACTAATCCAATGATGACTAGGGTGTTGTTGGGTCCGGTGGAACATAAGAAAACAATAAGTTAAGAAAACCAGTGATAATTCAAAAAATAAAATAAAACAGTATTTAGGTGCGACATTGTGACTGAAACTATCCCAGCCAGCCATTCAAATTGGATGGCAGGGTTGACATGTTTTATAAGTGGGCGAAGCAATTGTAAAGTTTTCCGTCATTAATTCTTAAAACTCATAACAAATACAATGTTTTAAAGAATTAGCAAGCCAATATCATGACTCCATAAAATACAAAGTGGACTTGCAATTTCTTGTGATAAGGTTTTATAATACAAAATTGTTCCTTATGCATGAAAGTTTGATAATGAATAATGTACAAAAAGTTTGTCGCATTTGGGAATAAATGATGAAATTGATTCGCTGAACCTCCAAATATGTGTGATTTTCATATTTCGTAAGGTAGATTTTAATTCATATTTTGTAAGGTAGATTTTAATTCAATTTTCACTTTTACTGAATTTGCATTTCTTCTTTGACAATATTTTTTATGAATTATGACTAATTTTCTTAACTTTTTGTTTGTCGGTGAATGCTCCAGTGGGTGCAACAGCGCCCTCACCATCATTGGATCAGTGGGCAGGGTGATAAACCATACAACATGCAGTCTTGATCATCACTGGCTTATTGGCTATTCATGTTGGATGCTACAGTCACCTGTTAACCAATCAAAAGCCAGATTGATAGAGAGACATGACCATCATGAATGAATGTAATTTTTGTTCCTGTCCAGATTCAATTACACAGCTTTCCAAGTTAGGTCCAAATCCTGACTAGGCAGAACATTGGGCAGGAGTTCAATTCACAGAGTTGTAAACAAACAATTCAGCATGTGGCTACTGTCACCAAAATCAAAGCTCCCAAGCAAACTCGATCTTATGGCTTGCCAAGTCATCCAAATCCTGTCTTGATAAAACATAGGGCAGCAAGCCTCTACTCCCCTGAATAGCCACCAGTAGCAAACCCAAGCTCAAAGAGCCCACTTAATACCCAAGGGGACATACATGGAGCCCATACAGGCATAACATTCAATGTCCAACCCCAAGGCTGCAAGGGGTATGTCCATCTTTTAATAAAATCCTATGTTTAAAAAACAATGAGAAAACATTCAAATGTATTGCTCGGCAATAGCAAACCATTTTTAACCGAATGAACAAGACACTATTATTCAACTATAAAATCAACAAACATGCATTTTCATAGTATACTTGAAGCAAGCATATATTACTATAAATGAATTAAAAATAAAATATGAACCAAGCATAATTACCTTGATGCCACTCTAACATTGTATTCCTTTCCTGGGTGATAAAACTCCGCAAGTCCCCAATCTATTAATCGGAGCTTCCTCAACTCATGATCAATCATAACATTATGAGGCTTAACATCTCGGTGCATGATTCCTTGTGAATGGCAAAAGTCCAAAGCCTGCAGACAGATAGTAGGTACAGGAAATTGCATAACTTAGCTTTAAAATTTTCTATGGGCCATATAAACTGCAAATGTTTTGAGCACAGCTAAAATGTGAGCTGCTGCAACGTGATTGATTTGGAAAATTTATTTTGGCAAGATACTAGTTTGAAAAGAGACAAATATATTGTGGCACGATAAGGAAATAAGAATAAACAAACCCAATACGAAAGCTGCTCAATTTCGGAAAACATTATGAAGGATAAATCTAGGAAGACATCGCACATTCACCAATGTGATGTTCTGATTAAAATTTAATTCAAAATGGAAACAAGCAGCACAATGCAACCTGAAACTCCACAAATCATGTGCAAACATTCTGAATTGACTACTACTGCTTCTAGGTAATACTTGCAATTTTATTCCAGAAAAATATCAATAAATTCAAATTGTACTACCAACTAGGTGCATGAGCATATATCTATGCCAAGTTTCAAGTTTGATAAAAACAAGGGAGAAATTCCTAGTTTGGCATATTCAGTACTAGGAGATAAAATGCGAGATGCAGTGTGGCTGCTCACATGCGCATGCAAAGGTGTTTGATCTTCATAACAAGAATCATCTCCTCATACGTTGGCACAATGTCTCAGGGTGTTTTCAGCTGCAAAATGCAGTGCCCCAGAATCCCAAGAACGATCCCTACGAAACGACCATCACAGAGCTCTACATCAAATACGCAAACTTTTATAACACAAAAAGAACAATAGCTGTTGGGATCGGCAGTGGGAGTGGGAGTGGGAGTGGGAGCCCTACGAAACGACCATCACAGAGCTCTACATCAAATACGCAAACTTTTATAACACAAAAAGAACAATAGCTGTTGGGATCGGCAGTGGGAGTGGGAGTGGGAGTGGGAGCAGGAGCAGGAGCAGGAGCAGGAGCAGGAGCGGGAGCGGAAGCGGGAGAGGGAGATTGAGAGGAAGAGGGAGCAGAAGCAGGTTCGGCAGCGTGGATCATGATATGCTAGAAGTTCCCTATGGTTGGGATTGGTGTCTGTACACCTTGAATTTTAGGGGTCCCAATTCCAACCTGTTCGCCCACCTTTTTGGTATCACATGAAAAATTCTAAAGGTCCAAGACTCATTTGGTAAAAGCATCTCTTTTCTCATAAAACGTGATTTTGCAACGTAATAACTTTCTTTTTACTTTTTCTAATGGATACATTTAAGACCTGTTGCCTTATAAAAGATAACCAAACAAGAGTGTGATTGATATCGACTGATCCCTAAGGGCTTGGTATTGCGATCCCCCCATAGGGCATGAGATCCACCAAAGATCCAGCTCCGGAAGTGTGGGGATCGCCACCAAGTCAAGAGACCCCAGTAAATGTGAAAAGCGCAACAATTTTCCCTTGCATGATGATCAAAACCGATTAAAATCTATCATTCAACACAAAACATAGCCTTAATCACCAACCAACTACCACCAGTGTTTGAGAACTCACCCGAGTGATACGGGCTCTAACAAGTTACACAGCTTGGCAAGCTCCCGAGTTTGGAATAGGGTACACATGTACCCTGTATATTACTTGTGCGAGTATTGTAAAGCTAGATGAGCACGGGATAATCTCCAGCTAACTCCCGAGTTTGTACAGTATGTGGGCGTGCATCGCTACAACACTCACTAAAGTACTGCACAAGTTGCAGTTTAAAAGGAGGGCACAAATCCGTCCCCTATTTCTTCTTCATTTCAAAGTTTTGGGGCCTTAGGGAGCCGTTTTGAACATAGTTGTTGGGATCGTGAAAGGAAGCAAGGGATTGTGGAAAGCTAGAAGATCACTATGGTTGGGAGCATCATTCATACAATGCATATATTAGGGGTCGAGATCCCCAAATGTTAGGGATCTTGAACCCCACCTTTTGAGTTCTCGTTATCTTGGCCTTTAAACTATGGATCATGAACGTTGATAGTGAGGATCAAGATTGCAAATTCAAAATCGAGAACCCTTGAGGACCCTTTCCTTGAGCACCAAAGCAAGATTCGAGCGTGGGACTACCACCTAGGTTGGGAGATCCTGGGAACTAGGATTTTGAGCCAATTGAGTGTATAGCTTGATTTGTACTAATCTATCCATTACATATAAAAAATATTAAAGTTGATCAAAAATATCAAATTCAACATATGTGCAAGATCAAAGGTTTCCGCTAAGGGTCTAATTGTGATTTCCTCACAATACAAGGTCAATTTTTTGATGGATTTGATCCCTAAGCCTATTTTGGTTCTTCATCCAACTGTAGGATTGTTTTTTTACAAAAATGAGCACAAAAAGAAATTAGGATTTAAGAGATTTCATTCACATTTACTAATCATCAGAGTTTTTAAGGAGCTCAGATCTTCTAAATCCAAACTTGAAATCCAAAATTTGGTTTTTGCGTTTTCATTTGGGTTCCCTGAGGAAGCAGTGACAAGGGCTGGAGGTATCAATTTGAACCAAGCATGAGGAATGGGCGATCAGCCTCAAAATTTCAGGTAATCTTCTTTTAAAATTTAAATTCATAATTCAACTTATTTATGACTAAATCAATTATAACTATTTTATAATTCATTTTGCATCTAAGTTTTCAATTTTGTATATGCAATAACATTTAGTGTTAGATCAACTTTTCATATAAAATGGAATTTTCAGGAAATAAGACCAATTTTTCATTGTTTTCAATCTTTTACATACTTTTTATATTGTTGATTGCTTTTTTTTTTCATTTCTACTGAATTTTAATATTTTTGGGAGTTTTTGGATATTACTAGTTTTCCCCATCCTTTTGGTGCTTCTTTGGCACCATTAAAACAGCTTAGGCTGGACTCAGGGCAAAATCGGTTTTTGCACAAGTTACTCGGCTCAGCAAGGCCCAAAATACCTTGCCCAAGCCATAGAATTAACATTGACTACCACCCTTAGGATCGAAGGCATACTACCTTTGGGTCTAAAGTGTATATCTACACCCATTTATTTAACTACAGCACCTACAGTGGAGAATCACCGCCAATCATTTACAGTGGAGAATCTCCTTCATTACTTTCAATCTTTTACATACTTTTTATATTGTTTATCGCTCTTTTTTCATTTCTACTGAATTTTAATGATCTTAGGGATTTTTCAGAAATTTTACTAGTTTTTATCATTCTTTGAGGGCTTCTTTGGCGCCTTTAAACAGCTTAGGCTGGTCTCATGCGGGTCAAATCAGATTGCACAAGTTACTCGGCTTAGCAAGGCCCATAGTACCTTGCCCTAGGCATAAAATTTAACATTGACTACCACCCTTAGGATCTAAGGTATACTACCTTAGGGTCCAAAGTGTATCTACACCCATTTGTTTAACTACAGCACCTACAGTGGAGAATCACCACCAACACAGAAATAGTGAAAGCAGCACCTTAAACCAAGCCAACCATCGTACCTTGAGTGCTCCATGGCTGGATACCAAACAGCTCCATATAAATTCAAGTTCCCATTGCATGTCTACACCAACTAGCATCAAGAACCCTAGGGACCACGACGAACACTCATTTGGAGGATAAAGGCCTAAGCCATACATGCTGTCAGGTTAACAGCAATTTCTTTGCTCGAGAAGCGCAAATCCTGCTTCATTCCAAATCATTGAATGGACAGACTAATTTGGAGCCAAACCCAAAAAGGGATGTTCCCAGTTTCATCTTTCTACAAAGTCCTATATGCCACAAGACTAAGACCAGAAACTCCTCCCCTCAAATGGCCCATTCCTTTCCCACTGAAAGTAAGGGATATCAACTGGCTGGCCATTTCAAAAAGGGCTGTGGCCCCTGGACCATATTAAAAGTAGCACCCTGCCCTTTCCAAAATCCAAACGAATTGGCCCATGTGTTTATAAGGAGAGGAGACCATAGAACATCTTTTTCTACATGGTAGTTTGAAAACAAGCATCCAATCTTTTCCCTTCCTGATTGACATAGCATAGGTCTGCCCAGCTCCCTAACAACCAGTTTCCATCATGGATATCTCCTCCTTTCTCACGATTGAAAGGTTGCTTTGGTGAATCACAGCTGCAGCAATTATTTGGTGCATTTGGTTGAAGTGTAACCAGCATACTTTCCAAGAGGTGGCTACTCAATTAACAACAATTCACAGATTGAATAATCTCTTTAACCATCTCCTAGGTCTAGACCTGCTGGAGATGGTTAAAGACCTGCAGTGAATTTCAAGACTTCTTGAAAACCATGCTAGCCAGTGGAAAAATGACATCTGGGCTACTCCAGACAAACCGCAAAATCCCTCAACTAGGATACCAACCAAACCAGGTTTAATTAAATTTTAACAGGTGGTCAGAAGGAAACCCAGCCCCTACACACATTGGGGCTTTTACTGAAATCATCCAGGCCCTACACATGTTAGGACTTTTACTGCAATCATCAAGGAGCAATCCCTCCTCTTTGAACACATAAACAAGTCTCCAAAATTTTAACAGAAATTGGAGTGAAAACTTCATGATCGAGCAAGAATAGGCAAAATTGATCACATGAGCAAGAATCAAACCCCCTGTCAATGGAGAATTCACCAGGAGTTTGACAGGATTCAAAATCTCTTCCACACAAGCGAGAAGCAAACATGGTCACTAATGAACTCAAAGGTAAGAGGGTTCAATTGATCCTCTCCCCTAATCATCAAACAAAATATCCACTGTATAGGCAGTGATCACCCATGCCACAGTTTTGTCCATAGTACGTTTCTTCCTTTTGCTCCCATCGCTTTAACTCTTAAATTTCACACTGGACTCCATACAATTTCGAGCAGAGAAAATTATAACTCATTTTGGGACTAATTGGAGGAAAGTGTACATTTTGATTTCGTAACAGAAGTAAAGATTAATTGTCAAAAAAATTAAAAATAGAAAAGCAGCAAGAAAAAAACCTACTGGAAAGGCTCCAGGCCCATCAGTCACCATGGGGTCGTTCCAAGCAAAAGAGGAGACAGATGGGACTGCATAATAAAGAGAAAAGAGAAGTAGAAGGTGCAAGGAATGCCTTGAGGATCATTTCCTTTTTGATAACTGAAATGCCTTTAGGATTTCAAATTCAAATTTTTCTTTGAGAGAAAAAACAAAGAGAATGCGTGAAGAACGAAGAGATAGACAAAGAATGAAAAGGCCAGGCATTAGAGGAAGGATTAGAAAGATTATAAGAAGAATCAAGACGATTAGGGGAATCTTTGGAAATACAAATCGAGGAAATATACAGCATTGCTTTAATGTTAAACTCAAGAAAACCTACATCTCGGAAGAGAATTAGCACATATCCCCAAGGATGGTGACTAATCCGTCATCCTGTGAAATGTAAAGTTGAACCATAAAGAAATACTATTGAGTACAAATTTTGGGAACTCAAATGAGATGGAAAAAAGCCTGGTACCAATTCCAAATAAATGGTAATACATGCACTTAGAAAGGCAATCAATCGCATCATAATGAAAAGAAATAAACCATAATATGAAAGAAAATGATTATTTGAACTTTTCCAAACATTCTCAAGAGGATGAATAAGAATCATACACAAATCAGACAAATAAGATTTCACAATTTTACAACGGAAGCCTTCTTCCCATCTACAACCAATAATCTGACCAAAAAACAAAAAAGGTGTCATTGAAGCAAACAACTAACCTTCAGAAGCTCATAGATGTAATAGCGAATATCATAGTCCGTAAGGGTCGGGTATAATACTTTGAAGTCAGTGCTGTTCACGTACTCAAAAATCAAACTTGGAGTCTTTGAGTGTTGATCTCTAACAATATCAAGCAGTTTCACAATATTTGGGCCACCACAAAGGTTTTGAAGAATTTTAATCTCTCTCTTGATCTGCACAAGAATCCAATGACAAATTTAACATGTATGCATGATAAGCAACCAAAATATATAACAAAGAACTTCTAAGTACAGACTGCAAGTAATAAAATTTTGTCCCGGTGTGTCAAAGAAGTCCTATCACTAAAGGCCATACAACAGAGAAAAAACAAATCACATTATATAGACTCAGTAAATGCCCATAGCATCAACCAACTAAGATCTTACATATAATAAAACAAAACACTAATTTCCTTAAAGACAAATCAAAAGCACACTTGGGAATATCCATGATCTAGAGATATTTAACCACTCAGATAACTGTACTTACATTTATCTCAAGAACAGAGACATACTTACATGTATATGTACATTATCACACATCAGATATGCATGAAATAAATGAAACACTAGAACTTCACCTAAAAGTGTATGTAAATGAGTGTATTTGTGTGTGCGCATGGATTGCACTTGTATATGCATGTGACGTGTGCTTATTTGTTGCGGTCTATAGATATGTATGAATGGATATCTATCACACATGCACACAATAGAGAGACATACGTATGAAATACCATGATAGGCACGCAGATTGATTTAGAAGCTCAATAACCTCCCAGTATTGATGCTGAGAAAAGATATCTACCAAAGCTCTAGCATGCGTCCTTGTAAGAGTGTTGTCAACCACATGCATGGTCTCTTCAGAATGAAGAGAAGGGTAGAGAACCATGTACCTGTATCTTTGTATGACACACATGAGTGGTTATACTTTTGTGCCTTCTTAAGGACTTTGATTGTGGTAAACGGGATGTATTTTTTCATTTGGACATCATATCGGTGTTTAAACCATTCCACCCCTTTCAAGAATTCAATGTACCACAAAATCTTTTTATTACTCAAATTATTCTTCTATATAACCATGTTCAGTCCTCCAAAAACATAAGTCCGCAAAAGATGTTTGTGTAACCATATTGAGGTATCAAAATCTGTCTCTTCTAATGAAACATGGACTGCAAGCTTCCACACCAACACAATCGACCTTCCCAATCTCGCGCTAGATATACGCCATGATACCCCTTAAATGCTATCAAAGAGAAGTTAATAAAACACAAAAATAACTTGTTCTTGAATAGCATCTTGATCACCACATTGCCTAGATTTTCATCAACATGAAATATTCATAACATGAAGAAAGCATAAGTTATGAAACAACTAACTAAAATCACAGTACCAAATCTGGCTTCGTTGTGAAGCAGTGATTCAAAAAATGGCCCACCCAGCACCTAGGCAGGTCTAGCGGACCTAGGCACATCGCCAGGCCTGAGCAGACCGTTTAAGTGACAAGACCCTAGGCAAACCTAGTGCCTAGCCCTAGGCTGGCGTCCAAGGACCTGCCCACCTGGACGTAAAAATACCCCACAATAGGGGCATTTTCAGCCGTTTTTCCACCCAAATAAGTGGGGAAAGGGGTGGGGGTTTTCTAAACCCCTAAAAGTATTTTGAGCCTCTAGATACCCAAAAAAACCAAAAACAATATATATATATATATATATATATATATATATATCAAACTTTGAATTTGATTGGATTGAGCATTGAGACAGATAGTTCTGAATTTGGGCAGTGATGAAAGCCTCTATAATCCAATTTGGAATATTATTGATGAGAAGTGGGATAGGAAGCTATACTGACCACTATATGCAGCTAGTTATTATTTGAACCCAGTTTTTTTTTATGTTGATATGGACATACAGACAAATGACACAATTATGACTAGATTTAAGTATTGTCTTGCGAGGCTCGTTCCTAATTAGTAGATCCAAGATTATATATGTGCTGAGGAAATAATCCTATACAAGTGTGCATCGAAGTCATTTGGGACTGCCATGGTGCTGAGGCAGAGGACCAAAGTTTATACAAGTAATATATTTAAATTTGTATTTGCTTCAATTATTTACTTTCAAGTTTCAACTTTTTAACTTCAAGTGTCATGTTTGATGTTTCATGCGCCCTAGCTCCTTAATTCATAATTTATATATCATAACATGTTTGAAGTTTCATGTCCTAGCTCCTTAATTCATAATTCATATATCATAATTCGTAATTGATTCACAATTAGCTATAAAGATCACACTCAATTTGCAGCCAATTGGTGGAGCCAACATGGGTATGGTGCTCCAAACATACAAAGGATGGCCATTTCGATCGTGAGCCTAACCACTAGCTCATCTAGCTGTGAGCAACACTGGAATACCTTTGAAATAGTATGCCACTTTAGTAAATATAACTTTGTTACTGCAAGTCTTTATTAACGTATTTACTTTATTAAGTATTTATTATTTGAAATTTAAATAATAAAATTATTCCTAGTTTATTAATTAGTAATTTAGTAATTAGTATTATAACCACTATATAATTAATATATTTCCATTTTTCGTGTATGTGTTTCATATAGGTTCATACAAAGAAAAGAAACAGGCTTGAATCAAACAAGCTCAATGACTTAGTTTACATGAAGTTTAATCAAAGATTACAAGAAAGATTCGCTATATGTGATAAGAGAGCCCCTTAGATCGAAGGGCATGGAAAATGCCAAGTGGTTTGTTGATGAAGATGAAGTCGAAGGGCATTAAATGACAATAGATACGGTTTTAGAGGCATCAAGTAGAACAGTCGGCCATCCTAGGGCCACTAGATCATCTAAACAAAGGAGGTGGAGGATGGAGGAAGAAGAGGTGGATTTAGAACAAACAGAGGAGGACGAGCGTTATGTTGAAGTGGAGGATGATTATGATGATGATGGACTCGAGTCTGATGCATGTGATGAGGCTGCCCCAACTTTTCTGAGGTTGACTTAAGACTCTTGAGTCTTCCAGCCTATACTTCTTTTTCTTATTTTCTCCTCTTATGTAATATAGTACATTGGTTGGAAACTCTGGAATTTGGATTATGGGATTTTTATACTTTATGATGCATTAATGTGTTATTACCAATTCGTCATATACTTTGGTTTGAATTTAATGTTTCACATAAAAATGAATAAAAAATGCCTTAATATGCCTACAACAGAACTCCTAGACACCCCCTACCTCCCCTTCTAAACCTAAGCTGCCCAGATCCCTAGGCACCCGCCTAGGCGCTGGGAGGCCTAGAACCCCCTGGCCACCTAAGTGCCGCCTGATGTTTCCTGAACAGTGTTGTTTGGGAAGTCCCTTCATGTCCCAAAGTTTCACCATTGTTGATTTCAATCACATTCATGTTGAACATGTTATTTCTACTCAACATTGCAATCATTTTGCTCAATGTTGGAGAACATAATTATGAAAGTTTCAGAATTGTTGTTTCGTCCAAACCGATGTCATGTTGATTAATTCACCTCAAGTTAAGATCACAATCATTTCATTCCATGTTTTTTTTTTTTGACAAGTGTTAACATTTATATTACTGAAATAAAATTACAAGAGAGACAATAAGATGAGAGGACCCTGAGAATGGGTCTCTCTGTGACAAGTTACCTATCTTTTATGCGAGACCTTGCAGAGCACAATTCTCTCTTATGTTTTCATTCCATGTTAGAGAACATAAAAGAGAGTTGTGTTCTGCAAGGTCTCGCATAAAAGAGATCCAAAAAGCTAAATATTCTATTCCCTAGATCATCAATTTGCTTTCCATCTCCTTTTTTTCTCCACATAAAATTGGTCATTAAAACCCATTCATGGAGAGTTTGGTATTGAATGACAGAGAATCATTGGCCAAAACAAAATCTGGAGGCAACTGTATGAGGGATATGTAAAAAAACCAAATAATGGAGAAGATGTAATGGCACCCGATAGATTTGGCTCCAAGACTACCATAGCTACCACCAAAAAACAACGGGAATAACAGTTTCAAAATAAAAACAACGGGAATAGCCCATGAATATTATAGAACAGCATTCAGTTATGGAAATTTACATCCATACCCAACTCAAAAGGAACTGAAATTCATACAACCGCCTCTGCCACAACCAAGACACCCAACTAAGAGAACATACATAATCATTCTAATTGAAATCCAGACTTATCAGTGGCTGCAATTACATTGAACCACTAATTAAAACCAACGTGGCAATTATAACTCTGTCAAGACTCAAGAACCAACTAAAACACAGGTCTAATAAGAAATAACTATTCAATAATTAAATCACAACTGAAGCCAAAAATATGAAAGAAAAAAATAGCTTCAGGATTCTACAATTCATAGATGATCCCAAAATTAGGAAGAGAAGAGAAAGGTCTGACTCAAACCAGCTGCAAACGGTAGTCAAGTGATGCGGGTACAGCAGTACATATACATTCTAATGTACCACCCAACTAAAAACCATCAAATTTCATCAAAAAAAAGGGGCGGAAAAAAAAGACTAAATAACCATTAAATCCAATCAACAGGAAAAACTCTAAAAAAGAAAAGAAACAAATAAAAGTAAATGAATTTCTTCTCACCTTCTTCTTCTTAACAGGCTTAAGTATCTTGATAATGCATCGTTCTGAGCTGGCAATATTCACCCCCTCAAAGACCTCGCTATATTTACCCCTCCCTACTTTACGAACAACTTCGTAATCATCCTGATCCCTGAAACCCAAACAATTAGGAAATCAAGCGCAAAGAAAACTAAAAACTGAGACTCCAATTACAAGCAAATCAAGCACCAAATGGCAGAAAAAAGAACCACTATCAGCGTTTTATTTTGCAAAAAATCAGTTATGGTAGCAGATTGAATCTTTAGCTACCTCATCCAAAAGTAGTATGTGATTCAAGATCACTTTACTCATTACATCCAATATGGTTTCATCATTTTACTTATCATGTCAAACCCACAACTCCCCCACAACCTGAACCAACACAAAAGCCCTAATTGCAAAGAAAATGGATTGAGAGAAAAAAGCAAAGGCAAATAAGAAGAGAAAATGTTAAAAAAATAAACTTTATCCAATTTACATGTTGCATTAGATATGGATTATTATTATCAACCCCGAATTAAACAAACCCCAAAACCAAACCACCAAGAAACCAAACTCTCATTTCCTCAAAAAAAAAAATCGTAATAATCAACCCTGAAATCCACATCCCAAAAATCGAGCCCATTAGAAAGAAGATAACCCTGATTGAAGAAAAGGGGTTTCATGGACAAAACACTAAACAAACCACCATGAGAGAGAACCCCGCCAAGAGAAAGCAAGATTAAGAGAGATCAAGGGACAGCAATCAAACCCCCTAATTTTAAAAAGAGAAGAAAACACAATATAGAAACGAAAGTACAGAGGAGAATCAGAGAGTTTAATGAAGAGAGAGAGAGAGAGAGAGAGAGAATACCCCCATTGAACAGTTAAAGACTCATAATCCCAATACTCCTTGGGGCGAAGGACATTAACGTCTGCATAAACGCGGGCCTTCGACATTGCCGCCCCCCTCCTTGAAAACCTAGACGCAGGTCCAATTCCCGGCGGTTGAGCCAGATTGGGGTTCGGGTTTGGGCATTTATAAGAATAATAATAACGGGAACAATTAGAGTTATGCGCCACCACCGCTGCCACCACCACCACCACCAAAGCGGCGGTGTACGAGAAGAGCCCAAGAGGCGTCTTCCTCCCCCACCACCAAAGCGTAGTAGTAATAGTATTACAAGGAATGATAACAACGCGACAGAAGAGAGTGAGGAAAAACCCAGTAAAAGCTTTTGTCGACCTTCTTTTTGAGTTTGAGTGGGATTCATATGGATAACACGTGCGAGATCGTGTGGATTATTGGCTGGCGGTTGGGGTCCATGTCTGGTTTGTCTCCTTTTTTGGATTGCATACTTTGAGATTGAATGTTTTACTTTTTGATTTTTTTTTTTGTTCTTCTCTGTTTTTGGCAAGGTTACATGAGAATAGATCTTGAGACCTAGTGTCTAAGGAGTGTTTTTTTTTTTTCTTTTTTTCTTTTTCTTTGGACAAGGTCATATAAGAATGGATCTTGAGACATAGTGCTATTAAAACCCAGTTGTTATAGTCATAACCCAAGTCCAATTCTTTGTATAAAGATGTTACAGTCAAGGTTTTAAAAAATAGATTGGTGACCTAGATCGGCCACTTTAAAAATTGTATCGAATCATTGGATTGGCTATCCAGATCAGAGAATCGGCAGGTTTTGGTCTCAAAATATTTTCAAAACATCACTAAGATTTATTAAAAATGTAGTTTGTTATGTTTTCAAAAAAAAGTTGGGTTATCGCATGGTAGATTTTCACTATTTTACTGAAAACTAGTAGGATTACGTGCGTTGCATATAAATATGAAATAAAGTAGGACTACAATACCAAAACTAACTCATGTAAATATGATATATGATAAGACTAAAATATCAAACTTATATCGTTACTTCAATGGAAAAAGTTTATATAAGGATGCTACCTTATAATGTAGAATTACGGATACCCCTCAAAAATCCATCAAAAAAGGTAGTTTTAATGTTGAAAAACCCTTTGATGGATCATCTTGACATTGAGATATATGACTATGAAAAATTAAGTCTCAGAAATAATGTATTTTACAACATATTATCTACACCGTCCATTTTCAAGATTTTCATATGTTTATAGATCTACTTGATTTTAACCATTTTTTAAATTTAAAATTTAATAATTAGATATAAAAATAGATTTTGAGATAGTTCTAAGAACATTTTACATCAAAATTATATACCCTGATAAAATTTGAAGGTGCACCTTACCTCTACACCTACCGATGCATCCGTATGCAAACTGCATCCTACTGTAATAATATTATATTATTATTTTATGTCATGCAGCTTTGTTACTTTTACATTTTTATTGTGGGTTTATTAATTTCCTAAAATTAAATATTATAAGAGATAAAATCAATTTGAGTACTACAGGTAGGCCATGGATGTTAAAGCTCAAACCGAATGGCATGAGACATTCCGGTTGCAAATTTTAATCTCATTTCATATAATATCAATCAAGTGCATTATTATTTCTAAGAAGAATTTTAATTTGGCAAGTATTCAATTTAACCAATTGTTTTTAATATATAAAAAAAAAAGATTTCGCCATGTTAGACACCTTAGGAAGCAAGAAAATAGCAAAACGCATAATAGAAACTCGATCTCCTTACTCAATTTTATCATACATCCCAATCTATTCTTAAAGATTTTCTCAATATTTTAATATAAAATTTGGTTCAATTTTTTAATAATGAAGTTTCATGGAGAAAGATTTAATTTTATACTTTAAAAGTTCCTAAAAAGTATTAAAAATTGAATATAAAAAAATATAAATGATATTGAAAATAAAAATTAGTCCTAAATGTGAGTACATATATTGTATGAACCTCATAGATCAAAATTGAATATAAAAAATAAAGCGGGGATGCCAAGCAAAATTTAGACCAATAAAAGAAAAACAAAATATTAAT